ATTTTTGTATAGGCACTTTGTGTGCAAAACTATGAATTTCATACTAAGTGTATAAATTTCTGTATAGGTTCATACTAAGTGTATGAATTTCTGTATGGGCACTTTGTGTGCAAAACTATGAAATTCATACTATGTGTATGAATTTCCGTATAGGCACTATGTGTGCGAACTAAGAAATTCATACCAAGTGTATGAATTTCCGTATGAGAAATATATGTGAAATTGTCGGAAGTTCATAATAAGAAGGTGAATTGTCGTAATTGTAGTGGATGAGTAATCCATGTAAATGATAGTAACAACAACAACAACAAAACTCTATTCCCATATGTGATGGGGTAAGGGGAGGTAGGGTAGTAGGCTGCCCCCATCACCAGGTTGAGAGCAGCTTCCGTGAAAGACCTCGACAGTAAGAAAAATTAAAAATAAAGATAAAATACAATGCATGTATAAATAATAAATAAATAAATAAATAAATACATGGTTGAACAGTCTTCTTATGCAATCTTCATATACGCGTCTGAAATGGAAAGTAATCCCTGCAAATAAATCCCTGCGAAAAAAATCTCTGCACATGGACAGAAACGTAAGACCTGGCTAAAATTAAACAGGGGAAACATGAAGAGAAGGATACACAGAAGGCAACGATAGTAAGCTACGAGAAGGAATAAAGTCAAATGGGTTAAAACCTAAACTAAGGCAACACTACTCTGCTACCCAATTCTAAGCCTTCATAAATTCCAATGACAGAAATGTAAAAAGTAGAAGTCATGGAAATTACTACAAAGGCATTAAAAAAGAAAACATAGATGCTACACCCTATGGTTGTGACCCACACTACTCGGTTACCCTGGTCTTAAGTCTCCATACTTTCCTATCAGAGGTCATGTCCTCGGTAAGGGCTAAATCCATCAAATCAGATCTCAAGCAGTCTACCCACTTCCTCCTTGGTCGTCCTTTCCTTCTGGCACCATCGATTGTAATCGACTCTACCCTCCTGACGGCATCCGACGGGTGTCGCCTAAGGACATGCCCAAATCACCAGAGTCTTCCCTCCCTCATTTTTTTGGATATAAGCACCACCCCCAAGGACTTCCTAATAGCAAAGTTTGGTATCATGTCCCACAGAGTCCTACCACATGCCCATCGAAGCATTCTCATTTCTGCAGCCTCCGTCCTCCTTACGTGATCCTTCTTGATTGCCCAACATTCTGATCTATACAACAACGCTGGTCTTATTGCCATTCTATAAAATTTTCCCTTAAGTTTTAGAGGTACCTTCTTGTCACACAAAACTCCAGTAGCAACCCTCCACTTTAGTCATCCCGCCTTTATACACTGTGTAACATCATCATCTACCCCCCCATCTTTATGTATCATAGACCCTAGGTACTTGAAACAATCCTTTGAGGGGAGAACGTGTCCTTCTATGCATACTTCTACATCTTCATCGTTTTGGTTCCCACTGAGTTTTGAACATAAATACTCTGTATTTTCAATATTGATTCTTAGACCTTTTTCTTCTAAAGCAGGCTTCCATGTAAATGATAGTAAGATTGTGGTATTATTGCAATGGCATTATTGGTATAAATTATAGAATGTATAATGATTGAAAGGTTAATTGATATTATGAATGATTATTATAGTAGAGACTGCTCTAAAATAAAAGATTAATAGGCCTAACTGTGCATTTGACATGAAGGTGTCACTTATGCCAGTTAGATGAAAGGCTAAGTGCCTTTGAGGCCTAACTGTGCATTTGACAAAAAGGTGTCATTTATGCCAGTTAGATGAAAGGCTAAGTGCCTTTGAGGTATAACTGTGCATTTGACATAAATGTGTCATTTATGTCAGTTAGATAAAAGGCTAAGTGCTTTTGAGGCTTTACTCTCCATTTGACATAAAGGTGTCATTTATGCCAGTTAGATGAAAGGCTAAGTGTCTTTGAGGCCTAACTGTGCATTTGACAGAAATGTGTCATTTATGCCAGTTAGATGAAAGGCTAAGTGCCTTTGAGGCCTAACTATGCATTTGACAGAAATGTGTCATTTATGTCAGTTAAATTAAAGGCTAAATGTCTTTGAGGCCTAACTGTACAATTGGCAGAAAGGTGTCAAATATGCCAGTTAGATAAAAGGCTAAGTGCCTTTGAGGACTAACTGTGCAATTGGCAGAAAGGTGTCAAATATGTTAGTTAGATGAACGGTTAAATACCGTTGAGTAAAAGAATAATGGCCTAACTGTGCAATTGGCAGAAAAGTGTCAATTATGCCAGTTAGATGAACGGTTAAATACCGTTGAGTAAAAGAATAATGACCTAACTGTGCAATTGGAAAAAAGGTGTCAAACATGCCAGTTAGATGAATGGTTAAACACGGCCGAGTAAAAGACCAAAGGTTAAACACTGTTGAGTAAAAGAATAATGGACTAGCTGTGCATTGGACAGAAAAATTTCAAATATGCAATTTAAGTGAAAAGCTAAATACCTTTGGGTAAAAGAATAAAAGAATTATAATGTAATGTGATATAAATGCCATATAACTAATATGAAGGGATTATATATATTTATATATATAAGGTACAAAAATGCATAACTAATATGAAGGAATGTTATAAAGGAAAAATGTAAACAGAATATAACGGGAATGAAAGGATACCCAAATGAAAATACAAAATGGTGTATTAACGGTATCTAAGGTGTCATCATAATGATTATAAAAGATACATTATCAATTAGCACCATGATACAAGACATTTATAGTACTTTCACATTTACTGTATACACGGAAAATAAAGAATAAAGGGGGAAATATACAGAAGGATAAGTATGATGGACATACTAAGAATAATTTTCATGATGGTATGAAAGAATTATGGTTTAATTGAGAAGGGCTTAACTCACTACAACAAATTTGTTTATTTTTTATATTGAAAATATTGTCATTTAAACTTACATTTATGTCACTATTTGTATTTTGTGACATAAAATTCGATGTCACGACAATCATCGCCCTAGGTGTGTCACTAAATGTCTAACGTGACGTCGTATGTTTTTATCATCACGTATTGTTAAACCTATAGTGACGTTTATGTATAATGTCACTGTATTATTTATATAAAATGACGTTTTGTTATGTCACTAAATAAAATAAAATTTTGTCACCAATCATTTATATTGTCATTAATAATAATAAAATTTTATTATATAAATGACAATAAAATATCGTAACAATTTTTATTTAAAATTTGAAATTATAAATTTACCATAAAAGTATAAATATTTATATAAATTACAATAAAAGTCTATTTTTAAATATCACAATCAAGACTAAACTTTTTATAAATTATAATAAATATCAAATTTTTTTTGTAAATTATAATAAATATCAAAACTTTATGTAAATTACAATAAATACCACAATTTTCTAAAAATTACAATAAACACCAAAACTTTTTATATATTACAATCAAAGGAAAAACTTCTCATAAATTACAGTAATGGCCTATACTTATTATAAATTATATTAAAAAGTCTATATTTTACAAATTAAAATAATACTCTATTTTTTTTAACAAATTAAAATAAAAAGTATCCAAATTTGCCTATGAATGGCTTCGCAACTCTTGCAAGAGTTACATCTCCTCTTACACCTTGACAGCCTTGAACCTATATACGATCTCAATCTTGCCTTCTCTTCATTCACTGTCTATCCAAAGTAAAAAGGGAGAAAATTATCAAAATCCATTGTATTTAATTATAGTACTCAGACAAAGAAATATGTGTATTTTAAGTTAACAAAAATGAGAAGGGGCTTACCTGGGAAAAGCTATCAGATTTTGAATTTGATCCATCTGTAAAAACAATGTAGGAAACAAGAAAAGTACTTCAAAACCAGAACTTAAAACCAGAGAAATACAATGTAAATACAAATAACAAAACAAGAAAACTAAACAGAGAAATACAAAGTAAATATATATATATAGACAAATCTGGATATTGAAAACAAGATAAATAGAAAACAAGGTAAAAAGATTCTGGTGAGAAAACTAGCAAGCCTGCCACCTCAATTATATCAGCATACAGGTTACTCAAACCATCTGTGAAGGTGCAACTATTTGTTTATTTTATGCTTAAATATGCAATGGAAATATTGCTTGCTGAAGCAAGTGTCATCACTGCGTATTACTTTATATGGTCAACCAATAGCGTGGCCATCTTTCTTGCATGTCTTGGCCTAACAGTGCTTCCTGTAAACATAATTTTCGAAACCTACGTCAGCAACATGTTCGAAGAAAGATAAGTTCAAATATGAAAATAAGCATATTAACGGTCCCATTGAGCTCATGTGGACATGATGGTAAAAAATAAGCTTCGAGTTTACCGTGAATGGATGGCATACATGCTATTTAAATTTATTGCAGGCAAGTTCTGCTAGATTCTGAAATCATGGTTTTGGTTGGCATTCTCCTAAGCTTCCGTATTGGGATTCCTTACTCTGTGGCTCAGTATGTGGCTCTGCACTCATCACTTTTGTATCTGCGGAAGTGTTTGAAGGTGTGAACTTGTCGCTCTTGTCGCGTGTAATGTTGTCTAGGCTTTCTCGTGGAACTTACAACGGAGGGCTTCTTTCAACAGAAGCAGGAACCCTTGCTCGAGTGATTGCAGATGGAACTATAACAGTGTCTGGCTACTTGGGTATGTCTAGGCTCTTGAATGTTACCGTAGTTCCTTCATTATTCATCTGTATCTCCTCCATTTTTACCACCTGCGTTACTTACAATTCTCTTTACTAACACTTGTTGTATGTAAATTTCTTTTGCCAATTATAGCACAAGAAGACATTTAAAAAAAACAAGATATATCCAGACATCAAATCTGCTAGACTGAAAACATACCCACACTAACTCATATTACTAATTGTTTCGTAAATATAAAGCACCAGACAACCACATTTTCGGTTTTTAGCAGTAACCACGTGTGCAAAACACCATAAGAAGGCCTTGAAGGTTTACAATTGACACGCCTTGGACTCTTTAACATGTTGTGCACATTATCTTTATAATCATGTGGACACTGACCATTCTCCCTAGGACTTGGGGACCTCTGCTTGGTTCTGTATTCCTAGTCACCATATGGAGAACGCAGAGAAAGAGACCGTGAAACATTTCTAGATCACTTGGGAGAACGATGATTATCTTTTGCTTCAGCTGCATCTTCACCATACCGAAACTTCACAAAGCCACATATCATTACTAAGCATAATTAAAGAGTCGGGCACCTTTATTGGTACTAAAAACAAAATATCAGTAAGCCATCAAAAAGATAGAAAAATTATTTCAGCAAAAGACATTATAATAGCATGAAGCTCTATTCAAAGTACACTACAATCGCCAATAAAGAAACAACCAGAACAAACATAGACATATGAATAAAGGATAGATCAATGGCGTACCCTGAGTAATAATTTTTCTTTCGGCAGATAAACATCCTTCATCGAACCATACCATTCAAAGGAAACCTTAAGATCTTTCGAGCTAGCATCGATAGGGAGATTGCGAATGAGAAAATCAAAAAGAAGTGGGAATCGGTGACGATGGGATCGGTGGTGATCACGAGGTTCATTGACGTACCTCTTTCTTGCATGTGTTTGAATATGGCTACGACGATGAGGACTATAGCTTCTTCTCTGACTTCGATGCCTCCCAATCCCTTGAACAGAAGATAAAACACTAGCGTAGCGTAAGCCAAAACAAAATGTGAGAAAAAGAGCGAAAACACTATTCTTTATCTTCAGGAATAATAGGTAGGGTTAACAACAAGGTAGGCCATCAAATTCTTTAGGGTTAACTTTTCATAATTTTCATTTTCAACCTCTAGCTTTTAAGTTTTTATAATTTAGTCCATAAATTTTATGTTTCTCACGTTTAACTCCAAGTATTATAAGCACACTTAACTCCCAAATTATCATGATTGTACTTCTAACGCCAATTTTGATGGAATTATTATTATTATTATTATTATTATTATTATTATTATTATTATTATTATTATTATTATCTCAAGCCTCAACATTTTATTTTCATCCCAATTAAGGTTTCTTAAAAAATTTAAAACTAATTTAAAAATATTAAATATTATTAAAATTATTAAAATTTGAAAATTTTGAATTTTTAAAAAATTAAAAAGAAATATTAATTATTTCTATAAAATTTAAAAAATATATAAAAATATTGCATTTTATTTTAAAATTTTAAAAATAAAAATATCTAAAAATATATAGTCAAGGTTTTTGAACGGGAGATCTACAACACTATGTTTAGTGCTTATTCTCCAAGGGAACCTATGTCACTAAGATAATAGTTCTTACAAGAAGGATTTATGATATCGTAACAAAACAATTCATCTCATAAGAGTAACTTTTAATAAGGTTTTAATATTTTTAATAATTTATATTTAAAAAATATTTTTAGTCACACTTAAGACCCCAAATTATAATCTAAATTGTAATCTAAATTGTAATCATACAAATTCATTGAAAATAATATTTATAACATATCATAGTAACTCAGACTCCAACTATATTTCTCATAAGAAATTTTAGAGTTTATTTTTAGATTTTTTAATAATTTTTAATAATTTTATATTTTCTACATATTTTAATTTTTAGATATTTTTAATATTTTAAAATAATATTGTAAGATTTTATAATTTTTAAAGTAATTATGTAATATTTTATATTAAACAAATATTTTTTTTATTATTTTAAAAGTATTTTTATTTTTGAATAAATTTCAGAGTTTTAAAATATAAATTAATATTTAATATAATTATTAAATATTTTAAAACTTTTTATACTTTTTAGTTTTTGAATATTTATTATACTTTTAAAAATATTTAGTATTTTTATTTTTAAAATAAATTTTGAAATTTATATAAAAATAAATAATTTTTTACATTCTTACATTTTAAAATATTATTTAAAATATTTCCATAATTTTTTATTTTTAAAAAAATTTAAATTAAATTTTTAAAAAATCTAGAAATTCATCCCTAAAGTTTGACATGTAATTCCCTTTGACGCTGCCACACAACAAATAACCTAAAAAGGTTAAGACTTAAAGGTTGATCAAAGACCTTAATTAATGTAATTTTATAGTTTGATGGCTTAATTGATTTAATTTCTTAATGCAAAGGATTACTTGGGTGCAAAAAAATTAAGTATTGAAATAATTTTATTTTACATTGTTAGGTTTTTTTTGACCCTTCAAATATATATAAATAAAAAAATTATTATATATATAATATTTATAGAGAACATAACTTTGTGAAAATTAATATGAATGATTGAAATTATAAGTCTAAAATCTATGACTATTTTAAAAAATTTCACCAATAAAATTTTGAATTAGTGACAAATCCAATATGTCTCTAAAAAATTCTAGGCTATTTTTTATGTTAATTATTGGCACTAAACATTAATTGACACAACCGTATGATGTATTTCCATATCGTCAAAAAACAAGAGATATAACAACGAGGATCAAATAATTGCTTTTGTCATGTTAAGCTTATTTTGTGAGAAGAATAAAACGTCATTTTTTATTTCATATAAACTATGACGAATCAAATTGTCACAAATAAATTTTATTGGTGACAAATTTAGAATGTCACTAATTCAAATCGAATCGTCATTAATACTTTCGTTTCATTGGAGACGATTTTACAACATCACAATTTTATCTAAACGTCATTGAAAGGTTTCCCACCAAATTTTTTGGAGGGAAATTCTGGCGTCAAACATACAGTGACGAAAATCAATGACCATTTTTACAATTGTCATAAAAAATATACCATTAATTACTAAATGTGACAAAAACAAAAAAAAAATCACTTTTATAGTATATTTTGTGACGTTATACGCAACGTCATATAGAAATTATGTCATAAATTGTTAAATCTGATCCTTATGAGTGATGAAATTAAATTATTCATTCAATATTCATAAGATATTGTCGTATGATTTGTAATATTCTTACAATATTATATCTCACTAAGTAAATATTTAACGTGTGTTTATTTCACGCATAGGTAAAGGCAAAGATTAGTTGCGTAAGGAGTGTAGCAGTAACAGCAACAACAACTTTAATCGATTAAAGATCGACTCATCAGTAACATTATGAAAATCTTATTCATTTGGGAACTTAATTGGCATGTAATTAAACTATAGTAAATATTTTATAATGTACTTAATTGATAGTTTAGTATATTGCTTTTACAAATATCATATTTTGTAGTTGATCAAATTGAAACAAATTTTTTCGGGTTTTCAAATGACAAAAAGCTTTATAAAGTGATGTGACATCTGTATCTCGTGTACGGAAAGATATACGAGATATGAGTGTTACAGTTACGTCTTTGATACCTTTTAAAATTATATTTTTCTATTATTTATTTTAATTTTATTTCTAATTTCCTAATTGTTATTTCATACAAATCACAGAACTGGTATGCATATTTAATGTTATCATTTATATTTTTTGAAATAAAAAATAATAAAAATAAAATTATGTATAAAATTTAAAGTCTTTAAAAATATCCGGCCATTAAGTAGAAATTTGCATTCCCAATGTCTTTTCAGACATTTTCTCTTCAACTTATAAAATGCACCAGCACATATAAGTAGGGCTGTAAAATCAGGTAATCGGTCAGGTTTCAGTCGGATCTTGGTAGGTCGGGTAAAATCGGATACAGGTCAATTCAGGTTGATTTGACACTATATCCATATCGGGTTCAGGTCAGGTCAAATCAGTTTGGGTTATTTTCAGGTTGATTTGACATCAGATCCAGATCGGGTTCAGGTCGGGTCATTTCAGTTCGGATCGATGTCAGTTCAGGTAAAAACAATTCAGGTCCGAAGCAGATAAAGACCAGGTTAATTCAGGTTCGGGTTGACTTCAGTCGGATCTCGTTCAGATCGGGTCACATCATTGACAGATAAAATTCAGGTCGGATGTTTATCGGATACGGATTGAGTTCAGGTCAGGTCGTTTTTGTTTTTTTGGATTAATTATTTTGTCATATTTCGTGATTGTTGAATTGGAAGTTGTAATTGTATATGATTTCGAGTAAAATAAGAGAAAAATAAATATTCAAGGATCAATTTTGTAAAAAATATAAATTTAATGACAAAATTGAAGAAATGAAAAATTACAAATAAAATCTTAAAATATAAATTAAACAACACACATAGGTAAGGGACTAAATCAAAATAAATTTAAAATGCGAGGTTTAAATTAATGTAAAAAATGACAAAATTAAATACATTTAGAAAATTATGGGCCAATTACAAAATATAAATAAATAACAACTAACAATGGAATATGCAAATATAAATTTAAGGACTAAATTGAATACATATAAAAGTTAAAGACTTAAAATTGAAATAAATTAAAAAACACAAAAGGGTTAAATCGAAATAAATGTAAAATTTGAAGAAATAATGAAAAATATACTAACTTGCATTCATTCAAAAAAAATGAAAAAAATATAATATATATATATAATATAAAATTATATATAAACTATATAATTATTATAAACTATATATAAATTATTTATGTGCACTATATATAAACTATGTATATAAAATTATAAACTATATTTATATTATAAACTATATAATTATTATAAGCTATATATATAAATTATGTTTATGTGAACTATATATATATAAACTATGTATATAAACTATATATGTATAAACTACAAAAAATATATAGTTTATAAAATATTATATATATTAATATATATATATATATAAACTATATATGTATAAACTATATAGTTTATATGTTATAATTTATATTAATATAGTATATATATGTATGCATAACTAATATAAGTAATATATAGAATATATATATATATATATATATATATATATATTAAAGAAATACTATACATAAACTATATAAAGTAATAAATTATATAGTTTATAAAAATCCTAAACCCTATATCCTAAAACATAAACCCTAAATCCTAAACTTTATAAACTATATATGTATAAATACATTTAATAATTCATATATAGTTTATATAAACAATAGATTATATAAATTATACATGTAACATTAACCTATAGTCTATAAACAATAGTTAATATATGTAACTTATAGTATGTGTATACATGTAATGTAAACTATATATGTAACTTATAGTATATGTATACATGTAATGTAAACTATATATGTAACTTATAGTACATGTATGTATAAACTATGTATAATATATATATATAAATTATATAAAGTAAATTACTTATATAGTTTATAGAAACAATATGCATAAACTATATAAATTAATAAAGTATATATTATATAAAAAACTCTAAACCCTAAACTTGATAATCTAAACCTAAACTTTAAATCCTAAACCTTAACTCTTACATCATAAATCCTAAATCATCTAGTATTTGTTTATGTTCGTTTATTTATTAAATATAGTATTTGTTCAGAATTTTTCTTGGTCATTAACAACGTACATATACCCTACAAACGTAACTATTCAAACATGATACCTCTAGGGAGAACAATACTCTCTTTTACTATTGAAGTCACTCAACGAGTTCTAAATTTACATATAGTTTAGATTTTTTTTTGTATTTTCTATTGATAACATGTTTTCGTCCCCTAAAATATTATAAATTATCTCTCCTAATATAAAATTCTACATCGATCTATCTATCAGATCATTTGTACTGTATAAATTCAAATATAATCGTGATATTTAATTATTAAGGTAAAGTATACAAATGGTACTTCGACTGTAGGATATTATTTTATTAAGTCATTTGACTATTAAAAGTTACAAAATGATCTCCAACTATAGAGAGTTGCATTGTTGAGTCCCTAGACTAATAAATGTTACAAAATGGTCACTCAATTATTTATTATGTTCCAAACTCGTCATTTTCTGTTAAAAAAGTAACAATCGTATGAGCTGGACGTTAACATGTTGATTGAGATATGATAGTCGTTCGAGATTATAATATCATATTTTATCATAATTCATATACCAAGTTAACTTCCGGCTCATACTGTCGTTAATTTTTAAACAAAAAATGACGAATTTGGAGCATAATGAATAGTCAGGTGATCATTTCTTTGAAATATAATAAAAACATTATAATAAATATGTTATCAATTCTTTGAAACACGATAAAATACGATACATTTTATGCGTATTCGATATTTGTAATTAGTATTTTTTATACTTTAATCCTTCATCTTTAGCTTTTGTTAGTGCCACACTCTTTCTTTATAGATATAATTGCATATGATATCCTCAAATTAAAAAAACCATACCATAGACAAAAAGAATGTGCGCCGCTGCCCCATACCATCTTGTCTGAAAATTAAATAGTCCCATTACTCCACCTATACCGCCAAACTCGCATAGAACCAAGCAAAACCATCACTTTTATATTTAAAAGTAATGACCCAAACGTGCCCCACTTGCTTTCAAACTGTTATAATGTATATACAGAAGATGAGAATGTGTGCTTTTGAAGGGGGTGTGGGACAAGCACGCATTTATTCTAATTTCTAACCGTGTTTTTCGGAAAGGCAGATGATCCCATTGTTCAGTACAAGCGACCGCATTATCTTCTTGAGCCGCACACACACTGGTTATCTCTCATTTGTCTTATTTTGATCTCTCATTTCTCTCATTTTGATCTCACTAGCTTTCTATTTCTCTCAAATTCTCTATTTTTGGTTGATATTCGAATCGTTTTTTCTCTGTTTTTGGTTGATATTCGAATCTTTTTTCTCTGTTTTTGGTTGATATTTGAATCCTTTCTTTCAAGGGTTTCATGGACAGCTTATCTTACGAGTTGAATGGTCCAGGTATGTTTACTGTTTAGTAATGTATTATTTCGGTTTTGATTTTAATATTATTTATTAATTTATTATTCATTTCTTTTGTAGGAGAAAACCCAACAAATCAAAATGAAAGGCATTCTGAAAGAGGTAACTAAAATGTTTAATTTGTTGCTACTGTTGATTTGTTTGTGTTGGTTTTTCATTTGGATTACTTCTATAAGGTTGTTAGATGCCTTTTATTTAGAGTTTAAATAAACTGTTCAATTTGTTGCTACTGTTGATTTGTTTGTGTTGTTGGTTGTTCATTCGGATTGTTTTTATAAGGTTGTTAGCTGTCTTTATTTACAGTTTAAATAAACTGTTTAATTTGTTGCTACTGTTTTTTGTTTATTCGAATTGATTTTATAAGGTTGGTTACTAACCCTAATTTTTTTGCAAGGGGATATAAATGATGTGCTTTCCGAAGCATTTGATTTAAATAAATCCTCTAAGAGGAGGGCCACTGGTTCATTCGAATTTGGGAGAAGAACCTCTGTTGTTTGGGACCACTACACATTCACCAAAGCTGATGATGGTTCTGTTTATGCCGAGTGTAAGTATTGCAAATTGAAAAGATATAAAGCTGATTTTCATATTGGTACATCTAACCCTAAAAGGCATACTGAGAAATACCAAGCATATAAGGATTTTCTTTCTGAAAATACAGATAGTGTAGCTTCTTTTGATCAAAACAAATATTGTGAATTGTTTGCTGAAGCTATTATGTGTCATGGTTATGCATATAGTATAGTTGAGCATGGCAAACTTAGGGATTTACATCATTACCTTAATTCTTCTGTTAAGGAAATCTCTAGATATATTGTTACTAAGTATTGCATGTTGCAACATGAAAAGTGTAAAAAATTACTGCTTGATTCAATGCATTCTGTCTCAAGTCGTGTTTGTTTTACATGTGATGCTTGGTCTGCCTGCACTTCACGTTCTTATTTTGCCCTTACTGCTCATTATGTTGATAATAACTGGAAACTTCAGTCTAAAATACTTAATTTTCGTCGTTTTCCTCCTCCTCATGATGCTGAGTCTATCTTTAAGTTTGTGAAAAAAATGATATGTGAATGGGGTCTTGAAAAAAAAGCATTTACCATTACACTTGATAATGCTTCTGCAAATGATAAAATGGTTAAGAGACTAAAAGATTATTTGAATGTCATTTCTCCTCTTCCTTGCAATGGTAAGTACTTCCATATAAGGTGTGCTGCTCACATTTTGAACTTGATAGTTCAAAAAGGTTTGAAAAAAATAAAACTTACTCAAACATTAGTGACCAGTATTATAGTTTACCCTAATTTATTCTACAGAAGTGTCGCATGGCACGGTCTTTTTTACCATTTTTTAACCGTTTAAAGTAAAATGAATAATTAAATTAGGTGTTAGAGACAAAACAATAAAAAATAGAAACAATTCGATATAACATATAGTATATAATTATGTCACATTTCATATTTGAACTCATAAACCAAATCAATGGCAGTCTACAATCCCTAAAATTTTAGTGATAATTCAAATGAAATGTTCTGAGCAGTTTAAAATATTGTCCATAGCTTGAGGATATTTGTTGTAAATAACCCTACAAAAATCTATTAGTTTAGAGACGAATATGTGTAGAGAAAATCGCCTCAGTGACAAAAAAATGCCTTATAATATACGATTTTAACCAACTTTTTTTGGATTTGCCAAAATGACCAACAAAATCGCAATGCGAAATAAAAATCTCAACGCGATCTCCAGAATCGCAAATCAGTTCCCAGAATCGCAACGCGATTAGAAGAATCGCAATGCGATAGTACAAATTCGCATTGCGATTTTCCATAATCGCAACGCGAATATGAAAATCACAACGCGAACATATAAATCACAACGCGATTCTGACTATCGCATCGAGTATCCGTAAATCGCAACGACAATACGTAAAATCGCAACGCGTATCCGTAAATCACAACGAGAATACGTAAATCGCAACGCGTATCTGTAAATCACAACTAGAATACGTAAATCGCAATGCGTATCCGTAAATCGCAATGTGAATACGTAAATCGCAATGCGAATCTGTAAATCGCAATGCGAATCTGTAAATCGCAACGAGATTCTGACTATCGCAATACTGAATTTCAAATTGCAACTCGATTTCTGAATTCGCAACAGGTTTTAATTTCGCAACACAAATGTTTTGGGTATATAACTACGCAGCAGTAGCAACTCATAACCTAAATCCCTAACTCGCAACTCATTCCATCTCCATCTAGCACTCTCTCCGGCGACATCCGTTCCTATATCCAACGACATCCTTCCCCATCCGGCAACAGGTTTTAGTTTCGCAGCTCGTTTGTTTAGTAAATTAATTTACAATAATGAAATCATCTAATGTTGATCATGTTTGGATAAATTTGTGTTTTGGAAAGTCATGGGAGAATGTTCATGGTGTTTTACAATATATGCCTTTCCCATGAATCTTCAACTAAAACTGTCATTAAAAAAGTTAACTTATGAAACTCTAATGTTACGTGTTGCAAATAAATTGAATTTAGAGCCCCTAAGTGGATTTAGGCTATCTTATCAGAGAAATGGTAAAGTTTATTTGTTAACCGACAATGAAGATGTTGAATGATTCATTGCTTACATTAGTGTTTCAAGTGATGATGTTACATTGTATGTTGTTAAACCTAGAAGTAGTGAAGTTGGGTCAGTAGCGGGTAGTAATCAACTAAGTTTTTCAACCCCAGTTTATGGTGCTCAAAATTTAATGGTTCCCACAATTTCATCACCAAGCAAATATTGTTTCACCACATTTCCAATACCAAACACAATCTCAAAACCCACAACCTTTCCCTAATCCAAATCCCAATCAACTTTCAGCACCAAATTCCGGTTTTCGTATTGACCAGTTAGACGATGATGAGCCAACAGAAAAAATTGTGAGTACTAGTCAGTATTCGAAATTTGATCTTGGTCAATACCCGGACTTTGATCTTGGTCAATACTCGGATTTTGATGATTTTTCAGAAGAAGAAACAGACCCTGCGTGTAATGATTTTAATATTGGTCAATACCTGAATTTTAATGATGAAACAGCTGTTGCCGAGGAAGATGTTGTTGATGATAATGAGGAGGAAGTTACGACTGTAAATGAACATGTTGAACATCCATTCTGTAATTCATATAACACTGAAGAAGAAAAAGAAGAAGAAGAAATCCCCAAAGAAAAGTCTCCGAAGAAAATGCCACGGGAGTATAACTGGAATATGCCAGAATTACTTCAGATACCGGAAGAAGAGTAGGTAAAGATAGCAGTTGATTGTTACACAAAAATTATTCGTATCAAGAAAGATGATTGTTTTGATACAAAGGAAGACTTGAATATAGCTTTGTATATGAAATGTGTGGAAGATGGCTATCAACTAAAAGTTAACAAATCAAGCAAAGATCGTTTCGAAACAAGGTGTATGATTGACAAAAACTGTATGTGGCGTATGATTGCAAAGAGGATAAAAGATTGCGAAATGTTTCAAGTTAGGACTTTTATTGATAAACATACATGTTCAAGAACCCAAGTTTTTCCTCACCATAGATAGGCAAACAAAAAGGTGTTGGGTGGTTTTCTGGCTGAGTTAATGTTTTTGAATGGTAGGGTATATCGGGGACATGAAATTATGACTGACATGAATGCTCGGTTCAAGATTAGTATCTCATATTCTCAAGCTTGGAGAGCCAAATGTTATGCCTTGAAATTGTTGAGGGGGTCGCCAGAAGCATCGTTTGCCCAACTGCCGGCTTATTGTCACAATTTAAAGCTGAAAAATACTGGGTCGGTAACTCATATCAAAATCAGATAGAGATGGACGCTTTGAGTTGCTGTTTATCGCCATTGGTGCTGCGGTTAGTAAATCAATATAATTTTGTTGACTCATTTTTGTTAGTTACATGCATTTCACATTTAAATGATTATATTTCTTGTGTATATGATTTTGTAGATTCGTTCGTTTATTAATTGCATGCGCCCAGTTATTATAGTTGACGGATCACATTTAAAAGGTCGATACCTTGGAGTAAACTTATTAGCAGTAGCCATGGATGCTAACAATGGGATACTGCCAATAGCTTATGGGGTTGGCAAATCTGAAACCTCTGATTTATAGAAATGGTTTATGGGGCATCTTAGGGATTGCATAGGTCCTATTAGCAATCTGACAATCATATCCAATAGGGCAAACTCAATTGACAACGCTGTTAGAAGGTGTTTCCCAGATGCTTTTCATGGACTTTGTGGTGTTCATTAGTATAGAAATCTAAAATCAAGGTCTGCTGGTATAAAAAATCACAAATGGACATACTGGAAGGCTGTAAAAGCTTATCGGCAAGTGGATTTTAATAAGCATATAAACTGTTTAAGACGTGTTTTGCCTCAGTGTGCTCAAACACTAGAAGATGTCGGGTTTGAAAGATGGTCAAGAGTACATCAACTTGGAGCAAGATATGGTTTCATGATGTCTAATAGTGCAGAATCAATCAACGCTCTAAGTCGTCATTCCCGGAAATTACCCATTACTATGTTAATGGAGTTTTTTCGAGCCTCTATTCAACAGTGGTACTAAAAGAAAAGAAACCATACAGGTATTATTTCTTTAAATTCGTAACTTATCATATATTTTACTAAGTATTATTTATTTAAATTTACAGGAACATTGGAACATCATGTTAC